TACAAAGCAAAATACATATATAGAGAAAACAGTAATTGCAGGAGAGGAAGGAATCCTGAATGGCTTATTCACTGTTTTAGCAAAATAAAAATGTAAAAAAATATCCATCCATGCATCTCATTCTCTAACCTACACACACACACTCTGATTTATTGGGCTCTGTATTATGGCCATTCCTGTTTTTTTGGCAAATGTTTGCAATATAGAGATTTATCTGATTCATTATTTATTGGCAACACATACAGGACTACAGGGTTGTGGTGGACTTCAGGGGTCATGACGTGTGATCTCTGTGTACTGGTGAGATCACACTGCACTGCTAAAGTGGGGATGTAGTGATAGTGAAAGTGTACTGGAAGGAAGTAGTGACTGCTCTCCAATCCCCTTTTCCAAAGAGACCGGGTGTGAGGGGGTGAAGTTAATAGATTCCACCATGAACAGCAAGCTTGAACCCACAGAGTTAGAAATGAAGGGAACACAGCAGAATAAATAAAGAACAGGCAGCACAGTGATCTACTTGTTGGACTGACATTGTCCTTTTAAAAATAAAATGTGGCTTTATGACATCTATTTTTCAGCATGTGTCTTGAAGTGGGAAACTGAACCTCTTACTCAGTGAAAGGGACAAATATACGAGGCAAGAAAGCTTCAAGATGCACAATTATGGTTATGAGCATTCATTAAATATAGTCTCACCACGCTTTTCAAGCAAAACATTTAAATCACCTGGTTTCAGAGTTTTCTTTTTCTAAACCTTCAGGTCAGTTGCAGCCCTATTGAAGATTAACACACACACTACAATGAAGAAAAACCACTATAGATTTCCTTGTCCTTTTGTGACTGAGGGTTGGTTGAAGAAAATTATTATGTTTATTCAGGTCTGGGAGAATCATATATGGACATATAGGGAAGACAAACACAACACGACAAGTTGTGCGGGTGGCTGGATGTGGACTGGAAGATCAGGACTGGTAGGTGGGGACAACCTTTATTTGACGAAGCCTCGCCTAATCCAGCAAACATGCTGCCTGTGGCCAGATCTGTTCTATTGAGTAGTCTTATAAACAATTGTTTAACAAAACCCATCAGTACTTGAGTGCTTATGACCCAACACTTTAGCTGCAGTTGGAATATTGATGCTCATTGATTATTTTTATGTAACTGAGCATTTACAGCTGTATCTCTCACACTCTAGTCGTGGAATGAGCAAACACGTCTTTTGGTATAGTGTAAACTACAGTACTATAATGCTGGTTTTACCTTTTAAGTCATTTTGTGGGCAAAGTCTATCTCCACAGGGCAGATATTTTATTTTAACCCCCCCCCCCTCCTCGTGTGTGTGTTTGTGTGTGTGTGCCAGTGCACATGCGTATAAAAGAGGCTTGGATGAATCAGTACAGATCTAAAAGAGGAAGAGGAAGGCTAAGTTCTGAGCCTGAATTAATTCCCAAACTAATTGCGGCCAGACTTTACAGGGGATAAAAAGCTGAACTCCTAAGTCCTAAACCCCATGGGCCCTCTCCCACTCTATGTAAACCCAAGTGATGATGTACATAATTTATAGCGTCAGTGTATATTTGAAAAAGAAGAAGGAGAGGCAAAACACAAGGGAAATGACTCAGTGGCCTAGATGCATGTTTCCTTTTTGGGGTTTCCTCTGCTTGATTTCCTCCCCCTGTCTTTCTCTTTCATTTTGGCTTTTTTTTTTTTTTTTGTTGAAAAAGGCAGAGGAGGCAGCGTTGCATCCATTGAGATTTAATAGCTAGACGAGTCAATTTAAGGCACTACCTTTCAGGTACTTCTCAAATAATGTCATGAAGTCATTTGGCACACCAATGGCTCCTCTGTCACACCAATAAAAATGAGAACAATGCAGGAACTGTGTAATGTTAGCATTCAGTGAGCAAGGCGAAGTTTGTGGTGTTTCTATGGAACCACTCAGAGACTTTGACACACAAACGCCCAAATCCCATTTTTTTGTCTTCTTCTCGTAGTCAACTAAAAGCCATGGGCTCCTTCTGAACATGGCTCCTTGTAATACATTAGTGGTTTTAAGGCATTTTTATCCAGTCTATTATGAAGCTGACAGCTTTGGGAATCCTAGCCATGAGTGTATAACCGTGAATCACAACATCCCCCGCCATCCCTTAAGGCCCCGGCAAATGACTGCATGACATCATTGTTTTCCCTCCAAGAACACGGCCTTCAAGAAAGTCCGAGAGGGCGTCTCATCCACCAAGCATAGGCGTCTTACATGGAATCCATTCAGTGAGCTGGGAGATTTAGAGTAGACTCGTGTTCATTGCTTTGGCTTTGTCTGGAGAGCAGTCACTATTGCTCTGAATTTGGCGAACCTTGGTTGACAGATTAAGGAAAGAAGGCGGTTGAAAAGATTTAGGGGTGTCAGTCTTTGTTCTCAAAGCACCGGAAACCTGATTGGCTAACCCTATCTGGGAAAGGTGGACACATGCACAGACAGTAGTAGTTTGACTAACCCTAACCCTTTGCCATTCATGGTAGTGGAGCACCGCTCATAGTCCAGCTAAGCATGTCTGTTAATTGAGTCTCTTTAATATTTCATTATGAAAAAAAGTCAAGTAAGTGGCAGCTGCATGTTTTACTCACTTTAATAATTTCTCTTTTGCACTGCTTTCAGTAGAGAGCATGCAATACGCCTCTATTAATCTTTCTGCTGCTCTTGATTGGAAAATCCTGTTGGGCTTTGGAGTAGCACTTCACTCTATGCTCAGCTCTGCCTGTGTACATATACAAACATGCACATGCACACACACACACACACACACACACAGAAACACCCTTGGAGCTGTAACTAGATCAGCTGGTGTTCACTTCAATGAGTAGAAGTCTCTGTCTGCATGTGTCCATGCACACTGCTGACAAAATGACTGTAGCACTCACTAATGATTACACACATTGTCCATGTATGTGTGTACATGTGCAAGGCCTACGTGTGTTTGCACATTGTCTCTCATACACTCAAACTCTCTGGTACTCTCATGCATTTTGCATGGCCTTGTGGGAAAGCAGAATGGGGCTACAGCAGCAGGATGACTCAGTAGCCGGCGTAGGCATTTGACCACAGGCACTTGTTACTGTGGTGTCAGGGACACCGCCAGGACTATCTCAGCACAAGTCTCCTTCAAGACACACACATGCAAAAGTTGGAGTCTTTGAAGGGCCCGAATAGTTGATGTGGGGGCTAAAGCCTCTGTGGGAGCAAATCATAGTTAATCTATATTGTCTGTCATACCAGAGTGATCGTTCTCACTGCTGTACTGTCTGACATACCATCAGTTATGAGCTCATATGTGTGTGTGCACCTGAACAGTATTCTTTTTTCTGTATTATTTTCTGTGCGTGCATGTGTGATTCCACAGCTATCATGTGTTTGGGTGTGCTACTGAAGAGTGTGTTTGCAGCCACAATGAAAATCAATACAGCTGGGAATTGATAGTGTCATAAACAGGCCCAGGGTTATTGCCTAGTCGATATGGCCCATTTCAGAACCAGAGTCCCAGCTGAGGCTGGCTGGATGTGGCCAGTGGCAATGACTGTTACACACATCGATGAAAACACCAACACTTATCAAATGGTGTGTCTTTGGCATTCACAGCAGTTTAGCAGCAGCAGCCCCGTGTGTTACCCTGCGTCAATGGAACTCCTCACCCAAAGGTTGAGACCTCAGTGACCAAACCTCCTAATTGACATTTACCCTTGATGGTTGTCTGTCCTCTCTTTTCCTTTTTTTTTGTAAATCAACAAGAGGGATATCATTTTAGTTATTATGTAGGACATCTTATACAGCCATCAGATTTTGCCTTGTTGGATTTATTGTTACATTTCCCATTTTCTTACTGAATCAATCTCTGCATGCATATTAACACCAAACTCCTCCTTTTTCTATTGGAATCATGAACTGTAAGCTGGCGACAGATTGACGCTAGCTGAAATGGTGAAAAAGCACAGGCAATGGGTGTGAGTAAAGACAGTAATGGACACTGGCCAATTTGAAAGTTGAAGGAGTGACTAAAAGCTGTAAAAACAGAGAGATGCCATCACATTTTGTTCTGAAATGGCAATATTTGAACAAGAAAAGGTTTTTAAATGAAATATTGAATTCTGATCAAAATTGTAGTCTGGGACTGTTAATCCATGGAGTTATGTGAAATAGAAACTTTGTGTTTGTCTGTAAGAATAGCTTGAAGTGTTAATAACAAGGATTTAATCACTGCCTTTTTACTTCTTCATGACACTAGAATGTTATCTGTCAATCAGCTTCTGTATCCAAGCCTCTCTACACAGTCATATCCTCCTCCTTGGTGAAGGATATAATGTTGATACACTACCGCTGTGGAAGAGATCATGGTGCCAGGTTTGTCGTATTTTCTGTAAACTTAACAGTCCCAAATTTAAATATTTGTAATTTCAAATCATACTCCAGCTGAGAGAATCATTTTCTTTGTTCATGTGACTGTGCTATTTTTGATTATGCTGTTATAGTGTAAGCATGCAAGAGTAAGGGAAACGTCCCAGTGGAAGAGAGTCTAAAACAACACGTAATAATTTAACTTTACACTGAGTTTTTTATTTTGCTTTTCCCTGTAGTATTTTGCCCGTGTCGCGACTATTATTAAATATAATTGAATTATTTAAATATACATATTTTAACAGCCGCCTGTTAAATGATAATGGAAAAAGTGATAATGATTCTGAATGTGTCAGAACAACCAGCAAGGAGACTGAACATGTAGTTCATTTATTTCAACACAGTATAACATCACACAAGTGTCATTGTTCAAAACACGGAATAAATAACTTTTAACTTCAGAAAAACAAAAACTGGCTGACTTATCGATGCCATGGCTCAGGTATAACATTAACAGTTACTTACAAATTAACTCGCTACAAACTCGCTCCTCTTCCTCCGCTTCATGCCTCTCCTGTCGCTGCCTGAACTCACCGTGTTTTCATCTCCACAGTTATCGTCCTGTTCGGAGCTTCTGTAAATCAGCAGTCCTCTGTTGAGCCCGGTTCAGTGGCGCTCTCCTTGCAGTATTCCCTGCTGGATCCCCTGCTCCTACACTAGTAGTGTTTAAAGTCCCCCTCCCCTTGGAGCCTGCAGTCCTGCCTGCATACAGGGCAAGAGGTGAGGAGGAAGAGTCACTCTGAGCAGCAGGCATGGGAATGAATTACAATATAGTATATTTTAATATATTTTGCGCATTTTCTAGATGGTCTGAAAAGGTAGAAATACATTTTCTAATAGGGTCTCAAAATTTGCTACATTTAGCGAGAATATCATATAATATATAAGTTTGTATGATATAAACGATATGTTCCATGAGACATTAAAGATAATAATTTCATCTGTAATGATTTCTCTACAATACAGGACAAACAACCATAAGTATGGTTGTGTATATATTTATCAGCTACTAATGCTCCAAGGACAGTAGCTGTAGAGGACTGTGTCGTTATCGGATTGGTGCACAGACACTGATACTATTACCACTGATAGATACTGTATAAACTAAATCATGTATTACAGTGTATCTAGTGTTGAAACTATGGTAATTCTTCTATTGCAAGTGGGTGGGTGTATAGAGCTGGGCTGATGTGCATAGATCCTGACAGATTCTCTGTTGAACCCATTGACCGCAGGTCAGTATTATGGATTAAATTTGACTTGTGCGTTGGCCTATGCTTTAGAGATGACACCCTGTTAACCCTTTGATTGACTGGTCTCCAACCCTGTCATTAACCCCTGATATGGGCTCATTAGCCAGCAGCAGCAGCACCTGAGCAGGCCACAGCGAATGTGAAGGTGGAGGAAAATGATTTGGAGACAGTGGGGTTGGGCTTCTCTGTGAATGGGTTTTGATCTCTCACTTCTTCAAAATTGGATCTCTGTAAATAATGCTACGACGAAGACAGTCTAGACCTGTGAGATAATTTTTGTAGATAAATTGAAATGAACTGAATTGAATAATAAGAATAAGAATGCAATATTTTGTAATGATTTGAGATGATATGAGCTCTTTAGTAGGTGTGTTTTTCAGCTAGGACTTAGATATTTCCTGCTTGGTTACACAAGACAAACAATGTTAAAGTAACTGTGTGCAGTGCAATAGTATTTCCTTTCCTTTAAATCAAATTTAGGCAAGGCAAGACAGTTTTATTTATGTAGCACATTTCAAGCACAGAGGCAGTTCAAAGGGCTTCATATAAGCAAGGAGGACGGTTAGACATGATATTTAAAAACAAATTTAAATAATCATTAGATTAGGTTGAATTAGTTACCTCTTCCAAGGGCTAATGTCCACATTTGCTGCTAGAATTTAATTTCAATCAAATTGGACGAGCATAGGCTGCAGGGATGGAGATTAAATTCTTGTTTGCTTCAGGTTTAAAACTGTCTATTCCTACAGAGGCAAACATTATACTTCAGGAAACATCTTCTACTTTTGTCGTCTTGCTCATGACGCTGATAGCAGTAGAACTATAACACACAGGATTATTTGCACAGCAGCAGCTTTGGATATTTCCCACAAGGGCATAGACCATATTTAGTTGCAGATATTAAAATGTGCCAACTCAGAAGAGCACTATCAGTTTAGAGTACTTAGTTAGAAAAGAATTGTTGACATGTCATAGCAGGAAGGTGGTGTGTGTCTTCATGTGAAATGCTGGATAATTATGTCAGTCTGAAACAATGTAAGTAAGTTAAACTTACAGAATATAGCACCTTTTTGACACAGAGATCCAAAGTGCTTTACAAACAACAAATATACATATGGGTATAACCATACCCAATCAAACAAACATAGGGAGCATGTAAATACAAACAAGGAAGATGAAACAAGAGGGAAGGATAAATTAAAGGGAGACGACAGAAGAGAAAACAATCAATGTGAGGAGGAGAAAAGTCAGTTTATACACATGGATATAGTTAGTTTTAGAAGGTCACAGACCAAACAGTTGGGCAACCCCTGGGATAAAACCTTACTCTTGACAGTTTCCATTGGGACTATTTGTTTGCTAGAGAATCATTCTAATGAAAAGGACCTAACTACTCTGCACATATTCACTTGTATTCCTCCTTGCACTGTAAATGGAGATTCATCAGTCTTAACCTGTTCTCCCCTTTGTTATGTCACGTTCTCTTTCCTTCCTGCCATCTCTTTCTTTGTCTTTCATCCTCTCTTCATGACCTCTTTCTCTGTCTCATTGTAATCCAAAGATGCATTGTTGGCACATTACACACACGCACACACACACACACACACACACACAGTCATACTAGTCCTACTCTGCCTATACACTTATGTAGGAAAGTGTCATTTTACATACTCCTCCTGTACATACTCTTACTGACCCACAGCCAGAAGCCAAGCTGATGTAGGATAGATTTTGTCCAATTTGGAGAGAGAAGATGTAGGTTATGACGCGTCTACACAGAAGGCATTTCAACTGTGATTTTCAGTCGGCCATCTCACGCACGTCTGAAGGAACAGAGATTCCTATTTTTTTCTATGCATAACCACAGTGATTGTGTATGGGGCTCAGAGCTCTTCCAAAATGTGGTGACCTACACTCAGTACTACGCCTGAATGCATCCTGTGTAGACACAGAGAGAGGGCTGAAGCTGCTGCTGCTTCTTTTCTAACGTGCTACTCGTGCTATACTTCCTGTGTAGGCACAGTGTTAGTGTGAACCTTGAGGTGATGCAAGTGTTATTTTATTTTTTATTTTTTTTTATGTATGTATTTCAAATTCTGTTTGGGACAGTGGCTAAGGCATTGCTGCTAAGGCACACATGCCCAGCCTCTGCAAATCGCTTCAGATTAATTGAATGGTTTTTCGGACATCATTTGCATTAAATCCACCACACGTGCATGTTGGTGTTTACTCAGTGAGTCAGCTTAGAGGAGGTGGCGCTGGTGGAGTCGTGCTTTTAAAATAATGAACTGGTACTGTGCTGGGCCTACAAGGGTTTTCAGAAATAGAGTTAGACCAAAATGATTGCCCAAGAGAAAAATAAATTACATCAACTTCAAACTCCCACATTTGGACATGTGTTGTACTGCAGGCATGTCACCAAAGACACATGGTGCACCGGGAAGCTGTCATGATGCAGAAATAAGTGCTCACAAAGCAGAGTGCTGAAGATAGTATCAAACTGTCTTTAGGTGTGGATATGATTCAAATGGTTTTTTGATACTGGTACCCATAGCAAAGAGGTAAAGTTTTACAACATGAATCTGCAATTGCTCTCTTTTTCTCCAAGATTTTTACTTCCTTTTCTTACTTCAATACGCTGCATGGTTTCACAACACATACTGCAAACGTATATGCACTTTGAGATCACGATTTAGTCTATTTGCTGCCCTTTAATTGTGCTTTGTCTAAGGTAATCAGGTGCATCAAAGTCTTTCTTCTGTTTTCCCAGTTCCCTTCATTTAGATCACCAACCCTACGATTAATGGCCAACTTGTTCTACCACCTGAGCTACTATCTCCCAAGGCCCTTATAAAAAGTTTAAGGGCAATAACAATGGGTGTTAAATTGGTGGTGATGGTAGACTACAGGTTACGTCAAACTGATATATAGCCATCTCACTTTGATAATGAAGTACCATCTGATTAGCATAAATTGCAGCTTATATAGCCAAACGTGCTGCTCTCCTGCTCTTTTGCTCTGTCCTGTTCTGTGTGTGTGTGTGGAACTTGTTGATCCTTATAACCTTTAATCCCTGCTAGTGGTACCCATGAGCTATCCCCTGCTGCTCCTCCCTCACTTGCTCTGATGTGCAAAATTGTCTGTGAGGGACTGTTGAATAATTGAACAGCTTGGTGATGGCTCTGTGACACTGCACTTACTGTGGTCGCTTGTTTCATTCATTCACTGTGTGTGTCTGTGTTTCTATTTATTTAAGGGGGAGGGGTTTAGAAAAAGACAGTACAGAGGTTGATTTTGTGTGTTGTGAAAGACTGTGTGGGTGTGGAAAAAGAAAGACAGTAGACGACACACACACTATTGACCAGGTTGGAAAAAAAGAAAGAAAAAGTTGAGCTGAAAAGGCGCGAGCACTGAAAGTTGCCAGAGACGATGAATGACTTTAATAGAGAACTCCAGGCTTCAGTCCAGAGGGACACACTCACACACTGACCCCTCTGGATTCATGGGATTGCTCTAAAAAGCTTTCACACTGAATAAGGGGTGGTCTTTGTGTGCCACAATGTGTGTGTGTGTGTGTGTGTGTGTGACCTTGTTTAACATATGCTTTATGTGAGATTATCTCAGAGATTTTGATTTTGCTGGAATAATCTTTCTCTGTTTTCCCTCCAGTAGTGATCCTGAGGGCATGGAGATAAATGCAGGTTTCCCATTGCTTATGAAAAAAGTTGACTGACATAGAAAAACAAAACAAAACAGAGAATAATCACATTTGAAAAGCAGGATTGTTGCTCTGTTAATTGTTTCATTGACGAATCATTTTAGCTCTAAAGCAAATAACCATGGGCGAATCTAAAACATAAATGCGGGACTCCTCCAACAGGTTGCATGTGCCTGTATGTTGGTATGTATGAGTGATAAAACCGTAGGTATAATGGTTTGAAGTTTAATGGAAGTGATAGCATACCACAGTCCAAAGCTCCATGATAGAGTGAGATTATCTTTCCCCCACAGCCCCTGGCTACTTTTAAACACTTCACACATGCCCTGAACTATACCACTTTACACATGGATCCCATATATGGACATGTGTGAGGAAAAGACGATGTGAACATTTTTCTTTTATGTGTGATGGTTGTGCGTGTGCTACTCTACAATATAGGCTGCATGTCTGTATCCTTGCCAGAGGCTCTTCTACATCAATATGGAGATTAAGATTGAAATAACCTAAAGCTTAAGGGCAACAGAGGAGCGACACTCCTCTGTTCAGTCTACCAGTGTGAATGATTGGATGTAGTGTGGGTGTATCACACACTTTTAACATTGTCGGCAGCGTGGCTAGGTCACATTTTACTACTTAAAATGTTAACCGTTGTGTTTTAAGGACTGGAAGAGAAAGCCAGCTGCAATACGTCACTGTGCCTGGCCAAGAAACAGTCCAGCACATACATATCTGCAAAACCACACTTTACATTTTTGGAAGAACCTAAAAAGATACACCTTTAATTAGGGAGCTATTAAGGTTCTGATTATTAGTATTTATTCCAATATCAAACTCTTCTTTTATCCAACCATTCATTTTCACTAAATGGTGACAAATAGGGTTGAATCACTACTGTGTTGCTGAATAGGCATGTTGAACTTCTGCTGTTGACCGGTTTGATGACTTCTTCCAGAGTTTTGAAGCTCATTGCTCAAAGACGCTGATTAGTTTGATGTGCCTCCTGTTGTTAACGTCAGAATGGAAAAGCTCACATGCTCATCCCCAGTGTGATATAGAAATGCAGAGGCCGGTAAAAAGTCATTGGTGGCAAGATCAGCTTTTAAACATGGACAGCACAAGTGGAGTATTCACTGTGAGGTTTTGGGCTGTTTATGCTTTAAGGCAGCAAGAGGACATTGCTTTAAATAAACTGCAGATTTAGAGTTTAGTCTAGGGTTTAAAGTCTGTGGATAGGCCACTTATTTGTCTCGTATTTGTCCCTCAATCCACCAACACCCACATTTATGTTGGCATTAGCCTTAAAGCTAGTCTGAGAAGGTAACAGTCTTTGGTGTGTGTGTGTGTGTGTGTTTGTATGCATGCATGTCTCAATAGTGTCACTAAGCTCCTGAGATGAGAGCTGCCCTGAAGTCTCCAAATCCTGCTTTAGAGAATATATGTGTGTGTGTGTGTGTGTGTGTGTGTGTGTATTCTTCACTCTGTGAAAATGAGTCACTGCTATAAAAATCCACACCATGCCACCCTGGCAGGATAATCAGGACACAATGTTTAGTTTCTTTCTATCTCAGTGGATTAGTTTATTTTCATCCGCAGAGAATTTTGCGAATTGTGGAAATCGCCTCATATTTGGTTGTCTCAGCTTTATTTAAAGCAGTATTTCACTAAGGGACGTGAGCTTTAAAGCACACCTACCTCCAGCATGACTCATCAAAAGCCTGCCTCAGTCATCATCAGGCACTGTGGGAATCCTCAAGTGTTGAATTTGTGAACATTAAGTCATTATCACAGATTAAATTCAAGCAAATGAGGACTCAACGTTCTAATAAAGACAGATACATTATTATGATAGCTAAAGAGGAAGTGTTCTGAAAGAATTTAGTGACTTTCTCAATGGTACTTGGATGGCTGCTGGCGAAGGGGAACCATTACCTTTACCCAGAATTCCCGAGTAGGCATCCAGCTAGTGATGTCATCATGAATCAGCCGCCAGTTTTGATGGTCAACATTTCATGAACCCTTGAAAGTCTGCATGTGAAAAACTGAAAGAGAAAGAGGCCTGAACTTGGCCAGAGTCCTTGATTGATTCCCAATATCACATCCAGCTTGATGAATTGTTTGGCCAGTGCGTGTGAAAGCTGTTCTGTTGGATTGTTTTGCTCAAGAACAGAAATGCAATACAAGGTTGTCGAAACAGTTTGCCTGGCCAAGTTGTGCCTCAGAAATTGACGACTTGTGACTCAGGCTTCATGATTCATATCACAGCGTGTGTCATGTAACAGGAGGAGCGGAAAGTAGGAGTTGGATATCAAGATTTTTGTCATTAGCCAGTACACCAACGAACCTGGTCAGAAACCCTGTTGTACTACTGTACCACGGATGGTGTGATGATTATCTGACTATATTTGTTAGAGCAGACTTTGCCTGACCTTAACCTCACAGGCCTGGCAAGAAGTCAGTTTGTTATAATGATGTGGCTTCACAAAAGTATTCTTACTCTGAAGCTCTTTGCTTTTCTATAACTTTGTATGTTTTCTGTCTATATACTATACTACTATTACTATATTACTATTTTTCACTGCCCAATTTCTTCAGTCCGACCAAGCTGTGGATGAAAAGCAGCTTAATATTAATTATTAAAATAGAAACTAGGCCTGAAATTCAGGCGGTGAATCCTTGCTGGATACAACTCTCTTTTATTTTGTATTATTATTTTTTTCTTTTATTTTTACTTTTCATGTAGTTACTGTGTATGACATTATTGCATCCTCTGTGTCTCTTTCTCTTGCCTTTTTCAGTCTGCTAAACAAATTTTCTCATGTCTCTCCTCAGCTGGCCCTTTGACCTTTGTAACTCAGTATTTTCCTCAAACACAAGACACACACACACGCACACACTCACACTGAGTTCATGGTCACAGGGACACTGAGCTGACTATGCAGTGGCAGTATATAGAGTATGTGGTTTAACCACTAGACAACCAACCTAGACAACCTAGCTGACCTCTTTTTATTCATTGGCACTCTGCTCTTGTCAAATGTGCACATGTATGTTATTTATAAAACAGATAATCCAGCATTATAATACTCAGTTATTAAGCCAAATATAGCAATAATCAGTCCTGTTTTGTTTGGCTACTGCAAGTCACTGCTCAGCTAAACAAAAGCAGAATTAGATTTTTTCAGGTAACAATGCTGATCATTTGTGCTTTCAGCTTTTCCAGTGTGAGTATTCTCTGTATGATGTCATTTTAAATACAGTGTTGGTCTGACAAAACAAGACATTTGAAGACCTTCACCTTGGGCTCTGAAAACTTGTGATGGGCCTTTTTTACTATTTTCTGACATTTAAACTTAAACTCAGCAACTAATCGTCTAATAGAAAACACTTGAGAACTGAGAATGAAAATAATCATTACTTGCAGCCCTGAAAGTAGTATATATTCAGATCAGATCTTTAAAATGGGCCTCCTAAAGATGGACTTGAGTAAAAGACACAACCTCTAACCCTTACACTTTTTCTCACTCTTCCTCTCTAACTCTATATCTCGGTTGGTCGCAAATGCCAAGCAGGGCGGAGTGAGTGAGGAGGAGAAGTGCAGCCACAACTTCCCCAGAGGCTCGTGCAAGCGTCAGTTTGTGTTATAAATCATTCAGGGACACTCACAAGGGGCACAATACATTTTTTTCCTTCTTCTGTCATCCCTCCATCCTCTCCTTCTTTTATTATTGAATGCAGTTCCTCTGAACACCCACTCGGCATGATCAAAAGGAGAGGAGGAGGTTGGAGGGGGGTGGAAACCAATATGACAAGAGGGCAGGGTGAAAAATTGCTAAAATTGTAGAGGTAGAGGAGATGAAGAAAGGAGCTGTTGCAGTTGGATTCCACACAGGAATGAAGTGTCTCCAAGCAAAGGTCACAGGCTCATTTGCATAGTGAATAATGGATCTACTGTACTTCCTGATTGCCGGGCTGCTTCTGTAAACAGTTGGTTTTATTGTGTGCTGGTCTTGTAAATGACGATACGTATAGTTCAGGTCAGGTGGGGTTCACTGTTAATGCTGTGGATGCTGCACCACCTGCTCGTCAAAACCAAACCCAGTCCAGTAGCTGACGGCGCTCTGCTGTCAGAACAACTTGCTCACATTTGATGTCTCTGTGTGGGTATACTGTGTGCGACATTGTGTGTACGTGTGTGGGAGAAAGCAAAATATTGGATTTTTGCTTGCTCGTGGCTGTTTGGTGTGTGTGTGTGTGTGTGTGTGTGTGCGAGCTTCTGTTGGTCCACTGTGTGTAGTGTCCTTGAAGTTACGTATTTGAATGAGGATGTGTTCAGCTGCAAACAGGAGGCACTTTGTATAAAATGCCAAGACATTTAGTTTGAGATACTTTCTTCCCAGTGCATTCTGGGATAGAATTTGCGCTCCCTGTGACCCTGAATGTGGACAAGCAGGAGTGGGAAATCTATCAACATGAAGATGGTTCATGGATCCTAACCATCTTATACTCAATAAAGTGATACCAGCGCCATGTACAGTGTATTATTAGCACCTGGCTGACATAACTAACAGCCATTATCTTATACTGGTGGTGCAGTTAGTGGCAATACTGTTAAGAATTGAAGCCACATTTCCTTTAACCCCTCTGTTTTGGAGGTTATATTGTCATTTTTCCTGAAGCTGATAAAAGAAGGGATCATTGCTGTGCATCCTGAAGTTGAGAGGATAATAACTGACAGCCATTAAAGAGATTTTCATTGGCTGTTGAGTCATTCCACCATCTGCTATTGTGAGGAAATTTGAAAGCTTTCCCTGTGTTTGTACTGGAGGAACATCACCTTCCTCTTGCTCCTCTTGTGTCTTATGAGTTTGTGCTGTAAAGCAATCTTGAAAAATATGACTTGTTGGCTCAAGGTATAAAATGTATAAATTGCAGATGCTTGAATAACTAATTGATTAATCCACTTCTCATATCCCAGCTCTTGTCACATTATGACAGGCACAACTTTCTAATGTGTTTAACTTAAATGTACTCATTTAATTTTAATTCAGCTATCTAACCCTGTTTCCTCCTCTTTCTACCTCAGGTACAGCATTAACCCAGTCATGAGGAAAGTCGGCAAGAAATCAACTCTAGACTTAAACTAAGGAGAGCGAAAGGGAGAAAGAAGCTGGTGTGACACCCCCTTTACACATTTCCTACAGGTAGGTAATACACACTCTCTGATCCTGTCTGCTCTGGCATTTTTCTATATGAGGAGGCCTCATAATGCTTATCGCTATCTGTTATTTGGTGTTCTTTTTTATCATTATGTAATTTTTATTTTTACCAATATCTTAAATTGTATTTCAACCTCCAGCATCAAAGTTAAGCAAAATGTCTGACAGGCGATACAAATGATTTATCTAGTAAGCAGATTGTTGCAAGCATCCAACAGATCAACTCACACTTGTCTCATTGAGGTCACCCTGCAGTTCATTCTGTTTCACACTGTACAGTAAAGGTGTGCGTGTGTGTGCGCGTCTGCAGCCTGAAAATCGCCTTCATGCTGCAGTTGGACAGCCAGCACAGGCATCCGCCAACTGTACTGTAAACTGGGTCTTGTTTGCCTTGTAATGAAAGCCTGCTGCTCTGTCGGCACTTCAACGTGCATAACATCTAACCAACCCTCTGTCACGCTGAATTAAAGCAGAGTCTGAAAGGAGGCAAAGTTTCTCTGGCCTGTACCATGGCTTCCTCAAGCTGTCTGCGTGTGTATGCACATGCAAATTCCTGTGTGGGGGTTGCTGCAACATAACTATGTGAGGTTGCTTGTTGGCAGCAAAAAATAACAAAAAACAGAAACCTGGTAGCCCAGACCAGTTTTGTGGTTGACAGTATTTAACTTGTGTTATTTTTGTTCATATGTCAATGTGTTTGTTTGTTAAATTACTAGAAATTAGATATCGCTCTTGAATGTGGTAAACAATGGTATGCTTGAATTGCAGAGTTTGGTTTGAATTTTTTTTTTAAAACCACTGTTTCTAGTCTTTGCTTAACTTTGGTTTGAACAGTTTTTCTTTAAACAGTTGTCTTGCGCAGGCATCTTTAAGCTGTAGTGATTGAAGGAAGTTCTGTCAACTTGTCATCATCACACATAGAGCCAACACCAATCATTGGATTTGGTGTGAAGTCAAGCGTATGTGTGTTAGGCCCGTGTAGGCCTACATTCTGTGTCAGGGGCAAGTGTTGCTTTTGAGTCACACTGAGTGGGAAAAGAGCTTGTGGGGACTGGGTGTGGTAGAGGGGAAACAAATTGGGTTACAGAATGACCCTCGGGGCAAGACGGGGGCTGATATAAATGTCTGGACTTCCCCTCACTAGCAGACTGTTGGACTTGAGGACAGAGTACCTGTGAAGTTCAGACTGACCAGGGCTGTGCAATTCCACAATCCACAACTAACCTCATACTAGCTTCAGAGCCCTACACGCCCATGGTCTACCCTTACAGGTGTTTGCACTTATTTGCTTGATTAGACCTTCTTTTAAAACGTGTACAAAATGTGCTTAATCTGACATCTTCCCCTCTCTGTAGTTGCACTTGTGAAGGTGGGATGCCATTATTATTGGCATATTGATATTGGTAACCTCACCCATTTCCTTTCATAGCTCCACCCACCTTCGACCTGAGCAAAAGTTCAGTCAATCTGCAACACTCATTGATGGGTGGTCCGATGTCTTTGCTCTTTCCCTAGGAAGACTATGGCTCATGCAGTGTAAAGCAGTTCTGCTGATGATTAATGTAGAGGGCCTCAGGTTCTTTTATCTGAGGGTTTCATATGAGAATATAATAGCAGTATAATCCTCAAAGTAATGAAAAGTTTGACTGGGTATATCAAAGATAAGACTGTATATAGGCCTATCTCTGTTTTACTCTTTCTCGACACTTGACATAATGACAGTGAGTGCTTCAGTCCATAAGGGCCCAGTCTGGAGGATTGACATTTGAATTAAGCTATTGTGCTATTAAGGTTGTGTGTATGTGTGAGTGTGTATTCCTGCATGGATATCAGATTTTCCATTGATAAGAAACAACCCTATAACATTTGGCCCTTTAAGTAAGCTAGTCATCACCATACAACCTGTCACTGTGCTTTTTAAATAGGCGTCTATATCATTCACAATGAGGGTGACCTACTTAATTTCATGCAGGAGACCTGCACACGCATGCATGTACACGTCACGCACACACATGCAGTACTCCCCAGGGACCGCGCACTCTGTTGAGATGTGGGACTCTATCTGCACGCAGTTTTTACGGTTTTAGTAGGCAGGATTACTCAAGTGCAGTGATTTTCTATGAGTGTGTGTATGAGCCAGGCTTCTTTGCTCACTCATATGTGCACCTTCACACACACAAACACTCACACACACACACACACACACACACCACACACACACACGCACACACACGCACTCAACTCCACAAGCCTTAATGCCTTCTCTTCTGTAAGTCGTCCATGATAGAAGTTTTAAGAGGTGAATCAATTACTCGACTTCTTATTCTTTCTCTCTTATAAGCACACTACCTTCATACTATGTCTCAGTGCACAATTTTGCAGATTTACCAGTCATTTTATTTCCGTTTCTGATTAAAGCTAGTGATTTTAATCCCAGTAAGAATTCCCACAGTCTGCCTAATTCCTGTTCCTGCCTAAAGCTCATAGGGGGGCCAGTAAGCTGCTAAACCCCCTGGCTATACACACACACACACACCTACACACACATAAACTGACACACACATATGGACACCAGTGTGCTCTAACCACCATAATGGCACAAATATATTTCCGTGCACACTCTATACATGCGTGCATTTAAATATAAACACAACTCTCACATTCAACCTCAAAAGCATGCACTTCACTTGAACTTTCATAAGAGTTTAGATATAATCCAGGCACACCCAAGAAACTGAGTGCAGCACGAATGAAAAGGAAATCATGTTTTCCTCCTTGTCAAAGCTGTTTTTTTCAAGAAATGTATTAAAAGAGAGAATGAAGAAATGAAAGCAAATTTGTAATGGAACTGAATGCAACTCAGTCAAGGTGGACCTGGATTCAGTTCAAAATGTTGTGGACAGTTTCATTTTTGTTCCCTAAAACATCCCACTATCCATTAACTGAGGCTCTGTCTGAAGCAATCACTTTTTTCAAAGAAAATTTCGATCATTTCTTATAGTGTATATTTCTTAGTTGGCCAAGTGCAGACAATGTGATGTCCCATTGAGCCACGCCCACCAGCCTGATGGACTTGGTCCTGCAACAACATGTTGGTACATCAATTAGTCATAACATCACCAACAGGGGGCCCGGGGGTGGGAGGGTGTACAGTATTTGTTTGTTTGTGTGTTTCTGCGTGTGTATGCATGTTGAACTTTGGCCCACATTTAACACGTGTATGCTTGCATGCGTTCATGTACACAAATTGTCAAACTTTTATATATCAGCTATCAGTGTCAAATCATTTTCAGTGTTTTTTCTGAATCGTACAGTATTTTCAGTTCCAGTGTGAGTAGTGCAGGCCAGACGTTTGCATAAACCATATAATCCCTTTTATATATAATTTGTGTTTATGATATATAGTTCATTGCATATAGCTATTGTTTTAGCATCATTACCCACCCCCATAGTAACCCACACACACGCCATCTCATTTACTGACTCAGACACCACTGTATGCATGCAAGGCACACGTTATTCCTGCACATACACACTAATGCACACACACCTGCACTTGTACAGTGGTGTGTAGTAGTAGTGCACATGTAGTACATGTAGAATTTACACACACACTCACACACACACCGAGCGTTTAATCTGTCTAAGCCATTTGCCTAATCAGCTCTCTCTCAGCACAATACCATTCATAGATGCACAGTAACCACACACACACACACTTACACACACACACACACACACACAGAGCAAACTGTCCAAACACTGGGCTTTGCCGGACTAGTAACAGCTTTACCAAGCCCCTCGTGTTACAACCTGTTGTTGCCACGTTGCATCACTTCACACATCTTAGAGGAGAAGAGGAAGAGGAGGAGGAGGAGAAAGAGTGGAAAAGAGGTTGAGAGGGAGGTGTGCAGTCTCCAGAGTGATCACATGACTTGAGTGTGCATTTGTTCCATTTTTGTCTGTCTTTTACTCACCTGCCAACTCCCTCCATCATTGTGGTTTAGGTCTTCTTTCAAAGCTTGTTCACATGAGTAAAACTGTTCACTGACTCTCAGTAGGTCTGTCTCCCTATCGCTCTGTTTGTCAAATCTCTCTTTCTCTTACTCTCCGTTTCCCCAATTTTCCTTTTCTTTTTTCTTTGGTAACCTTTTTCTTTTCCCTATTAGTGAAAGCAGCATACTCCTCTGTGTGTGCTGTGTGTGTATTTTAGATGGAAAGAGGGTTGAGATGTGGGGGTTGTGTCAGGCTATATTGCAGTAGCTATCTACAGAGCTCAAGCGGGAGAGATGAGAGATAGACAGGGCTGATGCAACCAGGAGACACACAGACACATGGACAGATTCACTAACACACATGGACACATGCAAGTTCATATTGTAGGTAAACAGATAGAAAACACACACACACACACCTAAATATACAAAGACATAGGCATAGGTTTTCTTGCAAGGCCTACTTTGTTGAATATGTACATAATTGCGTTGCTATGTTTGAATTATGTTACCATGCCCATTAATTAAACAACAGAGTACTGATGGATAATTTAGAGCTTTTGGTACTGAAGCAGTCCACTGATCAGATATCTGAAAAAACAGAATTATGCAAAACGTCTTATTAAAAGCGTAACAAGCACAGAGCCTAATGCTTAATAGCAGTGTAACCAAGAGTTTTTCATTGAACCACAAGTATCCATGAATAGTGTATACAAGAATCTGCAGCCTACAGGTTGTATTTAATGCTGTACTTCACTCTTCAATCATCATTTCTCACACCTCTATCACAGACGTGGAGGTCTCAGCTGAGGCTTTCATGCTTCTCAGAAATGCCTCAGTGACCAAGAGATGCCTTAAAGCAATAAGCATGTAAGCCTGTATATGTGATCCTTCATACTGTGTAAGCATGCCTGTTGTTTATGTGACAACCCAGTGTTGGTTTCCAAGCATGTTCTCTGGTATTCTTAGAAAGATATCAAAGCACAATGCCATGAAATCAACTTTAGTCAGGCTACAGTACAACTGGCTGCCATTCCCAATGCTGAGATGTTGGGTTATGCAGCTTTGTAGAGTTGACATGGTGCTTCAGGAGACCTTTCCATACACAAGAAGAAGAGGCAGCATTCCTTTATGTGACCAACACGCTGCTCTTTCCTGCTGTAGGGATAGCTAATCTGAATAAATAAATCCCTAATTATATAGTCTAATGCTCATCACCCCCTCACTGGCATCACAAAGCTGTTGGAATAAATATTTTCCAAACTTATAAGATAAATGATCCCCTGTGTCCTCCCCTCAACTCACAAACAAGCAGCATTTCTTGATGTAGGCCTTCAACACATGAGCTGCCTTGAGCCAGTGTTATGAGGGTACAATGATGCTGAACCTTGAGCATCTTATAATGTTTTACAACAACTTGGTAAAGTGTGTTATTTTGTTAAATAATAATAATAATAATAATAATCTTTATTTATTTAAAATGCATTTAAAATATATTAATTAAGAATCACTGGAAAGCTGTCATTGGTTGGATTTTACCAAACATAATGCTATGTAAAAATACCAAAATATCATGGATCAGGATATCCCCATTAGTATTGTTCACGTTTCTCAATGATCTCCATCGTTATGAATCTGGTGCCATGGAACAGAGGACACAGGACTTTTTAAGACTGATATTTTTGGAGTGGGTGTGATGGTTTAGATCCCTTTAAGAGCAGGGGATTAGGGTGATGCTGATGCTTAGTGTCTTGGCCTGGGTGCCTGTGTGTCTTGCTGCCTCTGCCTGTATGTCAGCCTGCTCTGTGGGATCGGCCTTTGGAGCAAGATTTGCTTGCTGCATCTGGCTGAAGTGCACAGAGATTTCATGGTAGACAGAAAAAGAGAGAGAGAGAGAAATGGGAACGAGAGAGATAGTGTGCGTCTGTGTGCGAGTGTGCGTGATGCATGTGCAGCGGAGCTAACTGGAGCAGGGTGTCCACAGGATGCGCACACGCTTGACGGCCTGGCTGCAGCCTTGTGATACAAAACATTTAGTGTTAGTGTGTTTGTCTGCACGCACACACAGGCAACTGTTACACTGTGTGCATGTGTGGAAATTATGCACCAGTGACTCAGCTTCAGCTGTCAAGTGCGTTGTGCGTGTGCGCGTGCACGTTTGCGTGAGCAAGTGTGACTGTGACTGTGACTTGGATGAGCAGGAGGACTAGACAGCTAGCCGTCATCATATGACTGTCTTTTTTCCTGTCTCATCACCTATCAGCTGTCTAGAAGACATACAAGTACTTTTAGAAAGGAGCACACACACATGAATTCTTGGAAGGAACTGTGAAGTAACATTAGATCAAACAATGTCTGTACCCAGGTATCAATGACAAGCTTAACTTGTGTGTGTGTGTGTGTGTGTGTGTGTGTGTGTGTAATTTAATGCTAATGCATGCTTATCAGTTTTACTACCTAGCAATTAATATACACTGATTATATTGATAGTAATTCACACCATCTTCATAAATGTTTGAATATTTGCTTACTTGGGGCGGAGGATCTGCATAGTTAGCCTGAAGCGAACAAATGTCACAATCTTATCCAGAGCATTGCACAGCAATACAAATGTAATCAGCTCATCATCTTCTTCTGTATTCTGTTTCTTAGGTCAAGCTGGCCAATGCCGGGCCCATCGTGGACATCTTGTGGCGGTAGCAGCAGCAGCAGTAGTGTCAATGTGAGCGTGGTGCCCGGCGCCTAGCCCATGTCCAGCCCATAATGCCGTCGTCCACACGGAAAGGGGTGCCGAAGGACCCCGAGCTGGCCGACCTCTTCTTTAAAGATGACCCCGAGGATGTCTTCTGTGACCTTCACGAGATCGGACATGGCAGCTTTGGGGCCGTTTACTTTGTAAGTGCCCATTCACAATTTTCTATACTTTGGCCTCCATAGACCTTTAAGGTTAAGTCCTTGAAAGAGTTTAGAAAATGGATTGAGGGACTGCAACTAAACTGAAATTGAACTGCTCTACAATGTCCTCTTGGTCCTTGGTTGGATTGTATATGTCTTCAAGCTGTTGTCATCGGTATCGAACATATTGGTTTGTCTCAGTCTCAACACCATGTGATGGCACTGCAAGACAAAGTTTATTGATTTAGTATGACTGGTCCTTGAAAGCATTGAAAGGTTTTGAAAGTTACTGGTGTGTGGGAGTAAAACAGCCTAGGTGTAGTGTAGGGCTGTGAATCTAGTGATACAAAATCTATCATGATACAAGGGTCACAATTTAATATATTGTGATATATTGCAATACTGTAAACTAGGCAATATATTGCGATTTAATAAAAAAAAAAAAACCTTTTTAGTATAAAGAACACACCCACATATGAATAAAATCTGGAACAGTGAAATCTGTATTTGTATTTATCACAGTCGCTGTAACATCCAACATTATAGTCCTAGGTTTCTGTTTACAACACTGCTATCTACAGGTTGGGGGCTTAACCACAAAAATTGATTACAATATCACAAAATAAAAATTGCGATACGATTTATTTCAATATTTTCTAACACATCTAGTTTAGTGGTGATGCAGTTGGTGATTTTATTGGTTGTTCATTTAGTTAGTGTCACAGATCAGAAAGAAAGATAGCATGTGAAAGAAGGACTGGATCAATTAAGATGGCATAATACCATTAAGCAAGACACTTTTAGCCCTTATCTACATGATGATAATAAATAAATCAAAGCTATATGTATTAATAAACGAGTTACCCTACATATTCATTTGTCGATTCACTGATTTGTACACGTCGTAAGTGTAGCCTGCTACATTATGGGCTCTTTGAATGCAATTAAGTGGAGACAGATTCCCTCTCAGCACTTTCTTGTAGCCTTTCTTATTAATCTCATCATCACTAATTACTCATCAAGCCTTTGATTCTAAAGCTGCGTGGAGGGGGGGTTGAGAGCATGCATCTCTCTCCTCTCTTCTGCTCTCCTCTCCTCTCTTCTCCTCTCCTCTGCTCTCCTCTGCTCTCCTCTCTTCTCCCCTCTCTCTTCCAGATGCAGGGCTGGGGTTGATAAGCCTCCTCTCTCCCTCCTAAGACAGCTGTTTTCTTGGTATAGAAAAAGAGAAGCTGTCAATAGTGGGGCAGGATTTTCTCTGCTGGCAGGGCTTTACCATCCTCCTCTATCCCATGTCATTTACATGTGTGTGCACACACACACACACAACGACACACACACACAGCACACACACACAGCACACACACATATCCCCTCCCAGTCTTGCCCAGACGGACACAGTAAAGCCTTCA